AAGCAAACTATGCCTCCACGTGATGAATTTTGGATTAAAAAAATGAATTATTATAATTATGGTTATTATAAATTATAATTGTTATTATAATTAAAATTATAAAAAATATAGTAAAAATATAACCAAACATTTTAAATATAAGTTCTATTATTTTTTGTTTCAGGGAGGAGTTCAAGAAGATTGTCGGGAAGACATTTCAAGAAATTTAGATTATTCTCTATATTTACAAACATTGATAATTAAAATTAATAATTTATATTGTAAATATTAAATATAATTGTTAAACTAGAATATAGTATCATTAAATTTATATGTTAGAAAATTAAAATAAGTAATGTCATATTATTTTATATTATATTATAATAATTAATGTATGTATTAATGATAATGATAATGAACAATAAATCCAATATAATATAGTAAAATAACAATAACGACAATAACAATGATGATAATGATGATGATGATGATGATGATAATGATGATGATGATGTTGATGATGATAATGATGATAATGATAATGATAATAATGATAATGACAATAATGGTTGATGATTTAAACTTGATATAACTAACTCAATAACTTGAACCTCTACAACTCAAAAACCTTTATAAGACGAAAATTTTGTTTGTCCCTTTCCGCTCCGCGGAAACTTTAATTCGAATTTGTCAAGCATTTAGATATATATTTTAACTCAAATTTAAAGTAGTCAGACCTCTACAAGTCGAAGTTCACCTATAATATAAGTCAAACTTTCATTGTTGCTACAAAAAAATAGTTACGAGATATCGATTTATTAAAAGTTATATTAACCACTTTATGTGTACTTATATTGTGTATTTGTGTGTGTGTGTGTGTGTGTGTGTGTGTGTGTGTGTGTGTGTGTGTGTGTGTGTGTGTGTGTGTGTGTGTGTGTGTGTGTGTGTGTGTGTAAGCGCGAGTGCGAATTAGTACTTACACTGTACTATCGTATAACTGGATTGCGTCTATATCTTCGTTTTTAGTAAATAAATCAATGGGATCTATATTTCTTAATTCTTCTATTTGTTCTTTCGTAATCATTTCTTCGGTAATTTTTTGTTCTACTATTGTTAAAAAATATATTTTTTAATATATTTTGCATGTATATTAATATTACTATATAGGTATAAATAAATTTATATGTATATATAAATACGACAAAAAGGTAGAACATATAATATTGTTATAAATTATAGATTTATACAAAATTTTTAATTTCAATGTTTATATTCTATCTATTCTACTGTATTTATGAGATTTAAAAAGATATAACTTACTTTTTCGAAGATTTAACAGACTTCCCTTATTCTTCTTTCGTTTAATTGTCTTAATTTCGTTTATTTTGAAAAAACAAATGAAATTTGTTATTTATAATTAAAATATTAACTTCATACGAATAAAATACACTTTGAATAGAGTCAAATGTATTTTATTATTCAAAAATTTGAGTTTCTTCATTGCGCTTACTTCGTGAGCAACTGTCATTGCAAAAATCTGTCATTACACACTTTGACATCTCGTAATAGTAAATAATATCTCATATTTGCGGAATACCTTCGTATACAAATAAATTCAGTATCGCGGATTCTTTGTCGCGACGTTCTTTATTGTGTGTGTATGTGCGAACTTTTGATCACACTTAATGAAGGTAAGATTTTAACATACGTGTATATAATCTTTATAATACATTTAATATATATCTTATTACTTTAAATACAATTATACGTAATATTTAAATCAATTTTTTATTTCTTTCAGAGCAATATAATTATAATATTTATATTGTTTGTTAAAACGAAGGACCGCTTAACTGATTGTCTTATTAAGTACAGGTATATTCTATTATCGTTTCATATAAAGCTTGCATGTGTATATGTGCATATATGTTAATATGTGTGTAGGATGTCTCACACTACCGATATCTCAAAGATAGCAATTAGTATTGCATAAAATTCGCGCGCTCAGGCCCGTAGTTACAGTCACGCGCGTCAATCTGTCATCACTTATTGATTTTCACTATTAATATTAATTTTTACTGCATAGCAGATTATTAATAAACAATAATTATTGAATGTAATAGTTTTACACTTAAGAAACAAGATTTTTACGTTTCTGATAAAAAGTACTTATACATATTAATTTAGTGTTATTTTTTATTA